TACACAGACGGTCAGATGTTTTCAAAGTCATGGAAAAGGCATGAAAGCTTCATCACAGAATCTGTCAGGTGCCAGTAAAGCTTGGATTTGGGCTCAGAGGTTAGAGTGTTAGAGCTGGTAAATATGGGCCAACCAATGCCTGACTGAAACAATGAACCATCACCATGATCATTCTGAGATAAGATTGTTAAGGTCTTGTTGAGGGAATTAGTTGGTGGAAGAAATCTCAGGTGTATTTTAGTTGAAATCGATGAGCATGAAACATGATTATCTGGTTGTCTGGAATAACATGAAGAAGATACATGTTACTTTTATTTTAATTTTTTTTTAAAGTGTATGAATGGTCATGGAAACACTGTCTGGCGATGCATACATGCAGCATTAGCACAGCTCAGATCCAGTGAACATAGTGAACATTGCATCCACAACAGTGAGCCCAAACTGCAGAGGAAACAAACTTTGGTCCAGAGAAGTGAATAGGAAAACTGTGGTAGCTCTCACTGACACTCAATACCATCTATTTACTGGTGAATGCATTAACGACAATAATTGTCTCTGGATGTGTATGTGCACTCCGTATCCTGACCAATTAAAAACCATGAGTAGGTATCAAAATGAGACCAGTGAGAAAATGTGAAAGCCTACTTCTCATTCAAAAGTTTTAAGAAAGACTTTTAAGATGAAACAGAAACAGGAATTAGTATCTTTTAAATCTTACTTTGTGGTGCACATAGAAGCGTGGGTGTTGAAGAACAGAACAGCAATCATCCGATGAACAGCTGCAATCTATGCTAGCAACCTCACTGAAACCCGTATTGAATTGAAATATTAGAGGCCTTTTTAAACACATAAAAAACCCCTGTGAGCTTTTTTGGATAACTGCTTTATCTGGCAACTTGATCTGTGCATATGATTCAATATTTACCAGTGATCATCACTGGTGAATTTGTAGTTTGGTAACACATAGGCATGAACCCCATCTAACCGGTATCAATGCAGTAACTGCAGTGCCCCTGATTTACACTCTTCTTACAGCATCTGATAAAGTTTTTAATGGGAGGATTTACTTAAGACAGCCTTAATTTCCTTTTCCTTTGCTTTTAGATTTTTTTTTTTTTTAAATATGTAAAGGAAAAGTCAGGAAGTATGGATATTACTGGAAATACTGGATCCACAGGTTTGTAGTAAAAATCATGCAATAAAGTGGAGGGCTTCTTGCTCTGTGTGGCTTAATTTTAACTTACTAGCACAAAAATCTATCGCCCTTCTGCAAATACATGAGTAATGTATTTTTTGACACTGTGTATCCTAAGTATTCCTAAGCTGATTTGTCAGCTAACTTTTATCCCTAACTTGCAAAACTACTCATTGAAACCTTCAAGTTTTCCCTTTCTTCCTATAGATAGCTTCATCACAACATAAATATCATAGCTTAAAGAAGGAAAGTATGTGAAATATTCAGCCATTTTCCTTTACCCTTCCAGGAAAAAAAGAAACTGTTTAAACTGTCAGAAAAATCTCCTCATTCTGCTGCAGTCTTCCATCCTCTCCAGATGGTAAAAAAACCATTGTTTTTTTCCTATAATCAGTGAACTTTGAGGAAGCAGTAGAAGACCCTGCTGAATTTCCATTTGCAGTGACTTCCACTCCCTCATTTAATTTCTCTCCTCCCTATTTCATTTTATAGCCCAGAAAAACCAATAGTTACTCTCATGCCTCAATTCCAGACATGACTTTGGCCTTACAGTGGAATCTCTGGCAGGCCTGGTGGTATGAGAAGGAGGATCTGGGGGTAGGAGAGATGCATTCATCAAGCAGACTGCTACGTCAAAGAAAGATGCTGCCCTGGGATGTGTGGCCAAATAGAATATGCTGTTGCTGAGTGTGAGCTGGAGTCTCGGACTTTATATTTAGCATTTTACCAGACTTCAGAATAACACATATTCCAGCATTTCACATGGTATGAGGTTTTAAGCATAGCTTACAGATTTTAGGGTAACAACATTTTTCCTTATTAGAATTAAAATGGATTTTTTTTATTATTAAGGTAAAAAGGAATTTTGTTGATAACTGCAAACAAGTTAATTTTTGAGCACTGCATTAGACTTCAGCAATTCTTGTAATACATTAAATTTCACGAAGGAGCAGTTCAGCACACTTGGGATTGATAACATTTTAAAGTTACCTGTCATATAAGAAAATTAAGACCAATGTATGTCTGTAGGCTCTGAAGACAGGAACTTCTCTCCCTAACCTTGCTAGTGAATTTGATACAGAGCCAGCATGTCAGAATTGTCCATCATGCTGCTCTTGCCTGCTCCAGACTTGTGGGGGAACAGGCAAGTCCCAAGTATTCACTGCCTCTGTATCACACACCAGCATCCCCAGAAAGCATTCTGAATGACTGGATGACTATTGAGGCTTGCAGACTTTGGCTTTTACTACAGAATTATGAAGAATGCCATAATATTGATACAGCCACAACACCACCACTGTAAGGTATAATGCCACCACCTAAGTATAAAAGAAAGTATTCAGAACCCCTTCATAGGGATTTGATAAACAATTTCCCAAGAAACTCTGACAGAATGTGTAAGACAAAATTGTTTGTGAATCAAAATGTCTGTCAGCGACATTGAAGAATTATGCTTCCTTTTGTGTTTACAACTCGCCTATTCACCATAACTTCAATTTTTAACTACAGATCCCTCTCCCTCTGTGCAATTTACCTGTCTGTTAAGACAACAAGCACTTTCTCTAAGTAAATGCTGACAAGATTGATTTTTATTGCAGATATAGATGGTCACTTCTGAAAAGCATTTTTTTATATGCTGCATAGGTTAGTATATACCTTAAAAATTTAGTAGTCACATCTGCAGTTTGACTGCTTCTTTCTAAAAGACAAACCCAGGCTAAGCAAGACAAAGAATCTGCTGATACACACATGTCACTCCAAGAATTCTCCTGACAAGGTTCCCACACCCAATTTAATTACTTCCCTACTGTAAAAACACTTTCCATCTGCATTTATTGTAATAGTTTCAAATCCAAAACTAACAGACTATAAAGCTAGCTAAATAAATGAATGATATTGGCCTTCGGTCCCAAGCCAGGAGCTATTCTGTAAGGCTGTGTGTCTCCAGCATTCATTTTTATGCTGATGTTTCATTTTTTGTGCAGTGTTTTCACTTAAGCCTTGTTTAGAGAAGAATTACCTTGCTCCAGGCTCTGAAGTGTGATGTGCCACACAGAGCCCTCTAGTGCTGCTCCAGCCCAAGGTCTGTCAGAGATTCCCCTCCAAGACCAAAACTCACATAGCAACCCAAAAATCCCACTTCAGGCTGTATACACAGCATGGCATATGCTCAGGCTTGGAACACGAATTCCAACTCTGTCTGATATAACCTCCAACTGAGGCTGCAGAGGTCAAAATGAAAAGTGTTTCTGTTTGAAAATGCACTTCAAGAAATGAAACTGCTTTATTAACTATTTGTAGCATGGCTTCTCTTGCACATTCAGGAGAAAAAAAAAAAGTATCTCATTCCTCAGACACAGCACAAAGAATTTAACTACAGCTTGTAAGAAATTTCCTGATGTGCAGAGATAGTAACAGTACATTGCATTCTGGGTCCTCAGGTTTGTTGCAGTTTGTTTTCATCACACTTTGATGAAATTACATCAGACTGGAATTCATGGATTTTAAAGGCTTGAATTACAATAGTCTCATTTGGGCAATCATGACTTAAAACTACACACTTGCATATGAGGGTTAGGCTACACTGGCATTCTCCATGGTGTCAAAACACTCAGAAAGAACTTGACTTTTATAATAAATTTCAATCCAAAGCAGCAGCACAGCAAATAAGTTTTTCATTTAGAAGTTGTGAGTACTGAAGGGCAAAGCAGGTTTCCACTGAAGTCCAGGTCAAAACTGCTACTGACTACACTGAAAGCATACTTGGACATTGAACTATCTCTTCCCTTTTCAGTTCTAACCAAACTAAATGAAAATACATATTAATAACAGACATGAGCTAATCAAAGGAATTCAGATGGTGCATAGTGCAGCTCAAGGCACAGGTACTACAATGGCTTTGGATGCTGCAGATGACCTGCAGAGGATCATACTGCAATAATTAAGGAACATAGTTAAAATATAGGTAAAGATAGGTTTGGGGGGCAAACCTTGAATTATTTAACTTTTCTGAGTTTTAGTGACAATGTTAGTGAAATGTCAGGTTTATTTTGTGGCTCTCCCCTCACAATGAAAGCTTCTGGGCTTTTATGACACTGAAATAGTCTCTATACAGAAGCAAGACAAAGACAAGGAGCACTCACTAAATATTGAAGAAAACTATTCACCAGTTTACCAACGACCAGGAAGATGCACATCTAAAACAGCTACTACTTCACTTGCTCAAAATTATCCATATACATACATGCATGTGAAAAACATGGAAGTTAAATCTGCTTCCTTTTTCCCATGTACATGATATTAGAAATGACTGTACTGGAAAGGAATGTATGGCTTCTTTCCAGCTTATGAACACAGCATGTTTTTCACATGTGAAAACAAAATGAAGTTTTAGTAAGAGCAAATTTTCCCAAATAAATAATTAGTTTTCCACACTGGGAATAAACGATATTTTCAATAAACCTCAAGACTCAGATATGCAGAAAAGGGATAACTGAAGAAAGTGAGATCTGATCACACAGATTTCCCTACACTATTTAATAGCTGGGATTGTTTTTTAATTGAATGTGACCATTCACTGCTATGCCATCATCTAAACTCAACAACCCAGACTCTAGGCTGCATCTTTGACCGGGAAAAGGGAAAAATCCCTTTTCTAGAGTGAAAACCATTACAACTGATCCAACCACTCATTCTTTGCAAAATGCAGCTCCGGGGCTCTGATGTTACAAATCCACGGCACAGCTCAGCCTCGCTCTCTGCCACCGCACCGCAGTCAGTCAGCGTCGGCCCTCCAGCACCATACCTGGGATTCTGCGGCTCTGAACCATCGGACTCTGGACACGGCTTCTTCACCTGCAGGAGCAAAGCAGTGCTGGTTACTCTCACTTGAAACACAACTTCCTCTTGCCCCCTCCCATCACAGCAGAACTTAAAGCAGATCCTGCTCTGCTCACCGGGATCTCTATAAAATATTTCCCGCACTTTACAGCAGTGGTTTGCTATACTAAACAGTGTGTTTCATTATTATCCCATGAACAGCTGCCAACTGCACTTCCCCAGGCTCCATTAGTGGGTTAAATGTTCAGCTAAAATAGCTTGGGGAGTAGTCTTAACTAGGAACAAAGAAACCAAAGAACCAGGTTCCCCACTTTGAAATGAGAAAGCCATACTGTTCTCAGCTTGGCCAAGAAATGTTTCCCCAATTGATACTGCTTCTGTTTCCTGCTAAAGCTCAAAATAATAAACACCAGGTTCTGGGGCAAAGCGCACCATTAGTTAAATAATTCATATGGTATTTTTAATTTTGTGAATCTGCTAACTGTATGTTAACTATATTTTCCTATTGCACCAATGAATACATGCACTGTTTTCACTCATATTTGCAAGACATAAGTACATAAAAGGAATTTTAGCTTCCAACTTGATCTCCGCAATACTCTGCTGTAGGCTGATTGGAGGTGATAAAATCCATCACTGTCAAAAAAAAAAATCTATTAGAAAACTGTTCTCTTGCAGACTAGGTATCTCCTTGGGATCTTCACGATTTCCAGCAAAAATTTAATTGTACCTTCTGGTAATCTAAATTACTTGCATTTTCAGCAGAGGAAAAAACATTTTGCTTGCTAGCTTGCTAATGCAAAGTCCAGGGCTCTGTGGGAGGTTTCAAAGTTCCAGTTTTAAAGCCACCTAGAAATATTGCTCACTGAGGCTCACTTATTGTGAGAGACACAATAAAAAAAAAAATTCCCTTTACAAACAGCAAGTTCAATGACAAGTTTCAGGATACCTTGCATCAAGAAACTCTTCTATACTTTTTTGCTACTTTAAAAGTATTTCAGAGGAAAAAGAAAGTGACTTTGACTCACTTCTATTGAAGTTATTGACAAATGACAAAACACTCACCAGGCCCAACAGAAAAAAGGATTTGACTAATGCTAAATATTTAAGGCTTGTTTTCCAGATTGGCATTTTAACTACATTTTAAATGTTCTATTTGCCAGGAGCAAAATCTTCACTGCCTTCTAGAGTCGAACTCACTTACTACATCTATATCCAAGATTGACCTGAAACTGTCCAGCTCCTGACAATGCAGGTCTTCCATACTTCCAGGTTCCTTTGAAATAGCCCTCCTCTTCCCATGATGAAGTAGGAACTACAAATCCAGAGAGGTTTGGGCTTAAGTTGTTGGGTTTTTTGTAGGGGAGTGTTTGTTTGTTTGGTTTTTTTTTCAGAAAATTTGCTCATAGTATTGACACTGAATATACCTATCTTATAAATGTGATTCTGACCCTTCGCTAACCACTCTAATTAATTCAATAAAATGTTAGAAGGATAAATTACAGTTTGTTTGGAACATCTATATATGGACATATCTCATATAATTCAAACACAATCATCTGCTTAAAAAGTAGAATTGAAGGATTTGACTAATGCTAAATATTTTATATATATATATATAAGTTCCCTCAGCTGAATGCCACGGAACATCACTCATAGAGATGAGCCACTCACAGAGCATGAGACACAGTCAGGGCTCACAAAAACCCAAACCTGACAGGCAGTATTTCATAAACATTCAGGTGCAAATATCATTGCTATAGTTTTATGTTAACCACGTTGCTATTAAAGTCGCATAACATCTGAAATACAGTAAAATACTTCAGATATATAAGCATAAGACCATCTGCCATGAAAAATGCCTTCAGTGTGCATTATATACAAACATGAGAAATAGTAATTCAGACTATTGTACTGAGTATCTCCTGGGTATGTCAGTGTCAGAGGGAACTGTTCAAAAAATATATTCAAAATCATTTAAAGACACTGAAATTACAACAGCCTCTCTTTGACAGGACGTGTTTTAATTTCAGGAGCAGTTTGTCTCAACTGAGTCATAGAGATTTGACCAGAAAGGTAATATTTTCATTTCGCATATAAAATATAATTTAAAATTACTGAAAACATAATGTATTGAGAGCTATAAAATACAATAAGTAAAATTAATTAGAAAAGTAAGTATATGCCTAGTAGCTATATAGTATAAACCCTAGAAGATCTTCTTTTTCCATGTCCCTTTAGCATACACTCACTTCCAGCATATTTTTGTTATCTCCTTGCTCTTAAATTTACTGATATTTATACATTCCTTTCCAATTTCTTTTCTGTTCTGTGGTTGCCACCATTATCACTGTCACCCACATATGCACTGGGGCTCAGATCTCACTCCCCAGGTCAGGAAAGTTCAACCACTGACGTTAATCAGTTGCTGGAGAGTCTGTCACCTAGACATCCCAATACCTGAATTTTGCAAAGTGACAGCATGTCCTGTGGTGGGCAACTACCACAGAAGCCCAAAGATAGTTCCAGCACACATTAACACAATCTGAGCACTTTTAATAGGCAGAATATATTAAGACCCCTGGTTTTCCTGGGTAGGGATCATGCAGTAATTGGATACTCACGGATGAGTTTTCCTACCACAGCTCACACAACTACTGCATTTTGTTTTGACCAACATTACAAAGCAATCTAAATATCTGAAAGATTATGCTTTATCCATATAAATTAACATTAAACATTAAAAAAAAAAGAACCAAAAAATTACTACCAAAAACCCCAACTGATAAATTTTGATAAAAGTTGAAAGGTCATAGCAGAAAAGCCACTGAGGAATAGTATCAAAAAGACTCACTTCCTGTGTGATGCAATAAACTTGGGGAGAAAAAGAAAGTGACTATTTCTTATTTAAGAATATTGCAATGAAAGCAAAATGCTTAAAAAGTGAGAGTATTTCATGTTTGTTGCTTGGCACAGAGATGATGAAGTTCATCCATGATCATTATCTGAAGAAATGTGCAGAAGCATAGAGTATAGATTTGGCTTGTCCTCTGAGACTAAATATAAACTTCATTGTGTATCTTTAGGGTCCCTCTTTGAGAGAAAAGATTTAATAAATAAAAAATGTTATTTCTTAAAGGACGAACAGGCATGGGATTTTCTTTCAAGTGGTCATATGGAATGAACACCATTTCTCTTCAAGGCTACTCAAGTAGCAAAACAAATTCTGTTATTCATAAAATTATGCCACCCTTGAAGGTGAACAGAAAATCACTGTGAAAATGTCTGATCAAAGACTAAATATTGTTTCCTTTGTCTTCAGCTGCACTGTTTTACCTCTTAATCTGCCTTGCTGACTGTTTTCAAAATAATTAACTTTCACTAACACCACATTTATTTACATTCTCATGTGTTAAATGCTATAAAAAGAACCTTTTTCTTTACTCCTGCTCTGTTTTCCTTTCCCCCTCTCTGTTTACACAGGTTTTCTCACCATTTTAGTTAAATGCATGTTGAGAATCATTCACAAGAGTAAGACTCCAGTTTCAGTTTGAATTCTGTTGAACTGCACTGAACTTTCCTACTCTGGTTGCCTGCTACAAAATGTTTGTAAAGTTTCAGCTAAAAACCTTCAAATACAAATATTTGTGAGAAGAGACTGCTGTGTTCATGTTTTGAATGTCACGTCATTATGCTGCTGATTGGCTTCAGTGCCTGAAAGTTGGAGGCAAAATCCCAGAATTGAAAGCAGAGGGGGAGAATTACCAATACTCGGGAATTATAATTTCTGTGAAATGGTGTCCACATTTATTTCAGTTTGTAAGATTCTAAAAGACCTGTTGTCACACTGTTGGTGAACTCCTGTTACAGTGTGGGTCCTGAATTTCTGAAGACCCTATCTGCATTGAATCTCCATCTCAAAGACGCTGGTGCTGAACAAGCCTTAGGATTACTTCTGAGTGCCTGGAGAACCCCATGCCATCAGGAAATCTGACACTATCAAAACTGTCCCTCTTAGTCAGTTCCATCTCCCAGTGTGCAGAGCCCTGGGTACAGGGTAGCCAGGCAGTACCCTGAAAGTAAAAAACCCCTGTAGACTCAAATGAAGGGAGGAAAAACAGAGAAAAAAAGAACAGGGAGAAGGAACAGAAATCAGGGCACAAAAGAAGAATGGGCTCTCCATGGTGGCAAAACTAGAGGAGAGCAGAAGCCAAATGAAAAAAATGTGACAGAGGTAGGGGTGCGGTGTGGACAGAAGACGAATACTGGGACTGGCTGAGATGGAACACCACAGTTTGCTCTCCTCTCTTCTAGATTTGGGACTAACACCACAAACATAACCTTAAGCACTCATCAGATACCAGTGAAACTCATTACAAAAGTCACAAGTGACCAGTCTGCCCAGAGCAATGTACTAGTTCTGCTACTCCAGCTGTACAGAAGACCTAATTAATGATCCAAGCTTATTTTCCAAGGGAAAATATACTTTGAACTTAGAAGATTACGTATAAATGTTAGTTTTATGTAGAAAAATGAAAGTCCCATTTGGCTTAAACTTTTATTAAAAATAATCAAAGTTTTATACAATTTCTACCTTCACCTGACTTGATTCATCAGAATTCAAATATGAACACTTTAAAAGTGATAATTTGAGGTCACTGTGAAGATATGCATTTATTAGGCAGCAAAGAACTGCAATAAAGGTATATGATAAATATTTACATGATAAAGGATTTTATATTAATTGGGCTTTGGATGCTTCATGTTTAACAAAGATATAGTGAGGAACATTAAAAGAAAAATCTAACTATGCATTCACTGGAAAAAAAGACACCCCCTGGAAAGCCTAGGATGTCAGGTAATAAGATCTAGCACCATAATGTGCAAGAAGCTGAATTTCCACAGGCCATATTAATTCTGGCATTTCCTTGCTTCTGATGTTTTTCTTTGCAACATTAACATCTTTTAACACGATTTTATTGGACCCCATTACACTAAATGTTAAACCATGAAAT